GCTACGTTGGGCACCCCCGACGCTGTAATTAAGTCTCGCGTTTGGCTTAATGACGGCCTTTGATCAGTGGCTGAAGCCCCCCTCCCCCCCCCCCCTTCTGAAACAAAGCCCTGCTGAAATGCACGCCCTGGCCTAAGCCTCGACTCGCTCTCACGGCGTGAGCAGGATGTTGCACCATATACGCTGACCTCTAAGCAGGTGACCTTACTGCCATGGTGGGTGGGAGGGGCCTAAGATTTGCTCACACCCCCATTCATGACGCCTCTCTGTGGGTGGGGCATTCTGCCCGCCCAAAGCTGATGGACCTCTGATCTAATCAAACGGTCCAGCTAATAGTTAAATAATCAGCTAACAGCTAAATAATCGTGTGTGGGTTAGGGGTTAGGATGCTGGGCCCGTGACCGAATCCCAGACTTTGCGGAGTGACGTCACCGTTAGACTGTTGACTAAGCCCTTTAGCCCCCAATTGCTCCAGGGAACTGACTGACCCGGCTTTGTTAAAAAATGTCACTTTTTAAATAAAAGCATCTGCTAAATAGGTGAAATGTAACTGAGTACTTACTCCGGAGCTGGGAATTGAACCTGGGACTGTAGGTACTCATGTTCATAAGCTGTAGCTGCTCTCCATGCTGTTTGGTGGGGGTTTTAGGTACGTGTGGAGGTTGTAATTCTGAATTTTTGCAGTATATTCTTTGGAGGCATTTTTTAATATGCCCCTTTCGGGGGTAGGTGTGGTAGTCGCTGGACCGGTCCTTGACTCTCTCCCCCCCCCCCCTTCCCCTTCCAGTCTAACAAGGTGCCGGTGGTGCAGCCATCCCACGCGGTCCACCCACTGACACCCCTCATCACGTACAGCGACGAGCACTTCGCCCCCGGGCCGCACTCGGGCCACCACCCCCAGGACGTCAACTCCAAACAAGGTAGGACTCTCTGCCGCCCCCTAATGGTGGAAGGTAGGAATGCGGACCCTGACATCCTGGTGAACCTGTCTGGAAAACAAAGCTTGGAACGATCCTGGGGATATCCTTGCTGCTTTTTTGGATTGGGGGCGGGGCATGTTTTATGTGGTGTGGCTGTATTTCCTTCTCCTGGGGGGCAGCCTGGTTTATCAAGGAGCAGCGTAGCTTAGCCCTTTAACTTAGCAATGCGCTTTTATTTCTCCTCCGCTTTTCTTGTGAGAGGTCAGAGGAGACAGGTGTGCAGGACAGGCTAGAGGGCCTTTCAGTGTGTGTGTGTGTGTGTGTGTGTGTGGTATGTGGGGGGGTGGCCTTTGGCAGGCATTGCGACCGAAACTCAACTCCATATGTGTCCCGTACTCCCCCTACCCCCCACCCTCGATTCCTGCTGATATTCAGCACGTAGCCACTTGAAAGCTGCAGATTGGGCAGGATGCAATGGATTTGCAAAGTGTGTGTGTGTGTGAGAGAGAGAGAGAGAGAGAGAGGGAGAGGGAGAGAGACTTCATGGGGCCAAGTGTTACCTCTTAATTTATATCTAAACCCTTGGCTCTGTCGCCGCCCCCTCTCCGCTCCATTGGTCCATTCCAATGAGCAGTCCGGGTGATGTCATCGTTACCAGATTGCCCATATCAGCAGCCACCAAAGGCCGTGTCCTTCCTACTGATGACTAGCATGTCCCTAAAAATGCCATTAATCCCCCGTGAAACACACTGAGCTTCCACCATGTCACAGCGTCATATGCATGATGTTATGAAGAATAAATTAAAAACCCTTCTAGAAGCATTTGGTTTGGTACGAGTGTGAGGTGAATTTTACCGAATGGCCCGAATGGATTATCCTGTTGTGGTCTGTTACATCTTGTGTCGGTAAACGGAGTTTGGGATAATCCGGAATCCTCTAACTGGAAAGCTAGCTTTTCCTCGGCGCGGCCAAACCACGCAAATTTCTCAAAACAGAAAATGTGCCGAAAACAATGTAAGCGTGTATTTTTTAAATTAACCATACACGTTGAACTTGCCATTTAAATGTCAGATTTTTACAAAAACAGTATGTGTGGGCACTGCGTGTCCCTCAAACCACCGTCCAAGGAATTAATGGTGACTGTATGTAGATATTTTTGACTATATTTAGGGTGTGTGTGTTTTTTCAGTGTCTCTTCGCATTTATTTGTTGGATAATGAGATGGTTCGCTTATTGATTGCGTTCGAGTATTCCATGTCGCACTGAGGGACATTCCTGCTGTAGCGTTTAGGGGTTTTGATGTGGTGAGAGGCGAAGTGGGAGGGGGGGGGAGGTGCCGGTGACTCCAGCCAATTGGCTTTAAGATGCACGTTGCTGAATCCCATGTACTAGTGTTTCCAAATCCGGTCCTCAGGGACCCACAGATAGTCCTCGTTTTTGCAAAAACGTGGGCTGTCTGGCAGGGAGCAAAAACATGGACTTTCTGTGGGTCGTCAAGAACTGGATAGGGAAACGTTGGCATATAGGGTTTTAGTGGTTCATCTCTGGACCTCCGCAAAGGGGAGCAACGTCCTGACCTTGAAGGAACTTGGATGGTCACAGTCGGCTTGGGCAGGAGGAATCGCGTTGTTATAGCGACCCAGAAGCAAGCCTTGATTAATGGGAAATCCACCTTTGAGAAGGTATGGAAGCTGCCCTGTGGGCGGGGCCAGGGCAGAAGGGGGTGTGGCTTGTAATCAACGTCGTTGTATGTCACCGTCCGTTGCTCTGGGATGGTGAGCACGTCTGTTGCTTATCACATGTCGTCCCTGCTTGGGTTTTCAAATGCCGAAACACTTTAGTTCTGGGTTGATGACGAACGTCGACATTCGGACTTCATTAGTGGTTTTGGGCTTTGCGCACTGATGGGTACTCTACTTGCCCCTCCCCCCCCACACACACAGGCATGCCAAGGCATCATCCAGGGCCTGACATCCCCAACTTCTACCCCTTGTCCCCGGGCGGAGTTGGCCAGATCACGCCTCCACTGGGATGGTGAGTCCTTCAGCTTTTTTTTCGTGCATACCCCCCCCCCTCCCCGAGCTTGGTCCGTGGCCCGGGCATCTGCACCCCATTACTGCGGCTTTGGACGACCACGCCTGTTTAGTCAGGCACATGTCAGGCCGACTGCGCTGGTCATGACCATGCATTCCCGGAAGCCCCCAGGTCGTCACAGACCCCCATTGTGCGGCCTGCGTCTGGCCCTGGAGGGGGCGCTGTCCTTCCTGCAAGCCCCTGCTTGGAGTGTCCACATGGATGGCTGGCATCTGGCTGGCGTGGGGTGTCACAAATGACATTGCCACTCCAGGGGGATTTTGATTGGCCCACATACCTGGCCTTGGGCGAATCGGGGGTGTCGGTCTGTAGCTGACGCCCCAGATGCAGATTTTTCTGAGCTTTTGAACACCCCCCGTATGTGGGAAACGAGGCCGGGGGCCTTGCCTTTTGGCTCTGCCATGGCGCCGTGGATCTGCATCGCCTGCTGTGCTGGGGACAGCTCCAGTGATTCCACCCCCCCCCCCCCCCCCCCCCCCCCCCCCCACCCCCCAAGCAGCTGACTGCTAACCCCTCGGGGAGTGCCAGTGCGGGTCCCAAAGCAGCAGGGAACTCCTACGGGCTGTGCCCCAGCTGCCCCAGTGCATTCTGGGATGCAGCAGTCGGTAGACATTCTGTCTCCGTGGGAGGACGGAGGGTGAGGACCACGCTGGATTTTACGGGCGGTTAAATTCCTAGCGACTACGGCTCGACTTCCTCGGTGTCACAGAAGAGCAGGAAGACCCTTCTGTGTTTTTCCTCTTTTTCTTTGCCAGGATCAGATTATGGCTGTCGTTTTCAGATGCGCATGTGCTCCCCGCGCACGAGCTCTGCCACTCGTTTGAGAAGTGACACGGTTCATGTTTAATAGAGATGTATGACGGCGTACATGGGTCAGGCACATCTGTGTTGTGTCTGTGCTTTATCTTTATGAAACTCCTCCAGGTTTTCCCATCACATGGTCCCAGGCCCCCCCGGGCCCCACGCCACTGGCATCCCCCACCCCGCTATTGTGAACCCCCAGGTGAAGCATGAACCACAGCACGACGGCGACCTAATGCACATGTGAGTGCCCCCCACCCAATACCCTGTATGCATGCTCAGGTTTTCTACCCCACTCACTCCAGCGCCCCCTGCAGGGTTGCAGAGGGCATAGGGCTAGGTGGGAAAACCAGGGATGCCACCCTCTGATTGGTTGGTTGGCTGGCAGCGGAGCTGATGGGGGGCCAATCCTGGCAGCACTGTCTCGATTGGTGAAGCCTCATTGGCTGCCCAGGGTGGTAATTTGTGTGTGCTTCCCTTCCTCCCCCCCCCCCCCCCCCCCCCCCATACAAATCGCTTGGAAGTTAAAAAGGATTTTTACCAAAACACTTGCACACGTCTCTTTGGAGGGAACTTGAAAGTGNCCCCCACCCCCCAAGCAGCTGACTGCTAACCCCTCGGGGAGTGCCAGTGCGGGTCCCAAAGCAGCAGGGAACTCCTACGGGCTGTGCCCCAGCTGCCCCAGTGCATTCTGGGATGCAGCAGTCGGTAGACATTCTGTCTCCGTGGGAGGACGGAGGGTGAGGACCACGCTGGATTTTACGGGCGGTTAAATTCCTAGCGACTACGGCTCGACTTCCTCGGTGTCACAGAAGAGCAGGAAGACCCTTCTGTGTTTTTCCTCTTTTTCTTTGCCAGGATCAGATTATGGCTGTCGTTTTCAGATGCGCATGTGCTCCCCGCGCACGAGCTCTGCCACTCGTTTGAGAAGTGACACGGTTCATGTTTAATAGAGATGTATGACGGCGTACATGGGTCAGGCACATCTGTGTTGTGTCTGTGCTTTATCTTTATGAAACTCCTCCAGGTTTTCCCATCACATGGTCCCAGGCCCCCCCGGGCCCCACGCCACTGGCATCCCCCACCCCGCTATTGTGAACCCCCAGGTGAAGCATGAACCACAGCACGACGGCGACCTAATGCACATGTGAGTGCCCCCCACCCAATACCCTGTATGCATGCTCAGGTTTTCTACCCCACTCACTCCAGCGCCCCCTGCAGGGTTGCAGAGGGCATAGGGCTAGGTGGGAAAACCAGGGATGCCACCCTCTGATTGGTTGGTTGGCTGGCAGCGGAGCTGATGGGGGGCCAATCCTGGCAGCACTGTCTCGATTGGTGAAGCCTCATTGGCTGCCCAGGGTGGTAATTTGTGTGTGCTTCCCTTCCTCCCCCCCCCCCCCCCCCCCCCCCATACAAATCGCTTGGAAGTTAAAAAGGATTTTTACCAAAACACTTGCACACGTCTCTTTGGAGGGAACTTGAAAGTGCATGCCAGTAATTGAGTGGTTTTCCTCCCCTCCCCCCCCACCCCAATCTCCCCCGCACGGAACAGTGGCACGCTTTATCTCGGGAAGAGCAGGCTAAGTATTATGAATTAGCCCGCAAGGAGCGACAGCTACATATGCAGCTCTACCCCGGCTGGTCCGCCAGGGACAATTATGTAAGTATGAGCAGGACGGCCCGGCTGCTGAGAGGGTTTGTGTGCCGCTTGCCGTGCGTCTGCGTGTGCGTGTATGCGCGCGTGCGTCTGCGTGTGCGTGCATGCGCGCGTGCGTGTGCGTGTGCGTGCGTGTGCCTGATTGCCGCTTCTCAAACGTGTGCCCCCAGCACTCATTCTCACTACACCACAGAAATGTGCCGTTTGAGGTGTTGATCTGCCCCCCCCCGACCCCGCCCACCCCCCAGCCTTTGATCTGTCCTGGTGCTTTTGCCACATGCGGGGAGATTACGCAGATTTAACAGGAGCCCGTGGTACCTGGGGACCCTTGGATTCCCATTAACGCTGCCGCTCTGAACAGGCGAGGAATGCGGCTGTTTTGTTCGTAGACGAAAGGATTTAACTTTAGGGAGGAAAAAGGTAAAATTTTTAATGCTGGTCCAATAATTAAGTGATAAGCTGGTAACCCGGCTTGCGATTTAACCCTGAAGTTTCCACTTAACTCTGAGTTAAGTGGAAAACGCCCCCACTGTCAGTGACCACGTCACTGTGTACAAACCCCTTGCCCCCCCCCTGCATAGACGGACCCCTGGTTGCTTACCACACTGGCAGCACAGATTACTTCGGGATTATCCCGGTTTTACCGCAAAGGAGTCCCGTCTCGCTGGGAAGGAAGGGGCCCTGAGCAAACTCCTTGGCTGGCGGGGGGGGGGGAGCCGGTAGACACTGCAAACGGCGCCTTTGGTTTAGTGATGTGAGTGCTGGGGTCACACCTTAAGAGATCTCCCGGATATTCCGCAGGGTAAGAAGAAGAAGCGAAAGAGGGAGAAGCTCCAGGAATCGACCTCAGGTAATTCCGGCGTTTGAATCCGTCCCACACTGGCTCCGTCGGCCCCCACACCCCACACCCCCAGACTTCAGGAGGAGACGCGCAGAGCCGTTTCCGCCCCCCGGGCCCACCGTTCTGCGCGCTCCTGCTTTCGACACACGCCGGGCAGCCTTGTGCGTCTGCGGTCCGCCTCTAAAAGGCTTATTAAAAGGTCCAATCTTCTGCAGGTACAGGCCAGAGAATGAAAACAGCTTACATCTGACCAATGGTAAGAATCCCCCGTTTACGTTTCTGTGTAGCGTCAGCGAGATGCTTTGTGGAAGGAGTGTCCGCCTCTGCACCGTGTATCAAACGAGGCTCACACAAAGGCCCGTGCCTACACACACACACACA